GACCCAAGTAGTATTTTCTATTGGCAACGGCGTCTTCCTTCGTTAGCAATATCAGCTGACCGTGACAAGGCCCCCTTGGTCGAGCCGAGAAGGGTCTTCCTCCTTAACGATTAGGACTTCCGAATCCGAGGATACTCTCCTTTCTGGCAATCACAAGCCGGATAGTGGAAGGTGCTTGAGTTTTAGACCAAGACAGTCGAGACTGACTTGGTCGAAACGTGCCGATCGTGAGGATATTCGTAGAACAAATAAAAAATGTCCTGAAGGACAAGTGGTTGTTTAAAACCAAGCCAAAATCAAATTTGATCAAACTAAGTTGCCCGAACGGAACAGAAGGAGGTTGTTCACTGAACTTTGAGGCACTTTGTTCGGTTAACTCACGTCTTGTACGCACGAACGCCGGTATTCTTCTGGGCAATGGTTGACCATCGCAGTTCTGGGCAATTGTTGACCATCCATATCATATCCTTCGCCTATTCAGTTTTTCTATACAGTTGATCACAACACCCTATCGATCCTGTCTCGCTCAATTAAGTTTATAAAAATATCAATTTCAATCTAATCCTACTAACACAAATTTATACATTTTTCAATTTACAGCGATTTTACCAACAATCCTACTAGCCCAACACTTACACTAAACAAACACTACAGTTTACTTAAACAACATGCAAAAATTCAAACCTAGGACATTATAACTAAACGGTTACAATTTCCAATCGATTGGCTTGTTTAGAATTAAAATTCATCCGCTATTGACAGAGTTATAAGTGATTAAAACCTGACCACTTCTCGTAACGCCGTCGATTTGTTTTTTTTTTTTAACTGCACCCCCAATATGTTACCGAAAGACGTGATCCTACGTCAAAAACCAATTAGAACGGACTCACCAGTTGATTCTCGGCTGCGGTTGATTGCTGCGCTGCTGTTAATAGCGGTGACGATGATGTTCAATACCAGCCAACGATTTCCACGTGGGTGGACGGACGGTGATCTCACCAGAGGTGGCGCTTTTTATTTTCCTTGATTTATTTTCAGTCGATCTTGTTTTCCGTGCTGAGGACCAATGCTACCAACGCCAGGAAGGCAGGCAGCAGCTCGCACACCTGGACCCTACCTATCGACCCATCAACTCATGAACCGGAGACCAACGGCTTTACTTCCCTTCCGAAGAAAAGCGTGATCAGAGATGTTATGCCTCAGAACATCCCGGCGGCGCCGACTGGGATTGAACCCAGCCAGGCTGCCGGCGAGGCATTCTATTTTAAGGTTCACAGTTTACTTTGATGCATTTTCGAAAAATTCAAATGCACTTTTTTATCGACGCATCATTTGAGATTGCAAAAAGCTCGCGTCATTCTATTCTTTTTGCTATTTTACACAAAATGACGCGAGCTTTTTGCAATATGAAATGATACGTCAAAAAAAAAACTGCATTTGAATTTTTCGAAAATGCATCAAAGTAAATTGAACCTTAAAATAGAATGTCTCGCAAGTACCACCACTCAGCGGCGCCGGTGGTTTAGTGGTAAGCGTGATAACCTTTTGCCTCTGTCGTTTCGCTACTGGCACAGTTTTTGACGTATGGATTAGATCTTTTCAAGTATGGCTAATTTAATATTTACAACATGGAACGAAGGCTACAAATGGCGGTGGGTAGACGTCACTACCAACCACGCAAAGCGGGTATTCCTGTATTCAGTGTTCGGAAAATCATTCTCAAATCTCATTCATTGAGTCTCCTTGCGAGAATAAACTCGCGTGCGAATGTGACAAACAAATTCACGCTTGAGATTCTCATGCATATTCACGCACTCACACTCACAACGTCGAAAAATCATTCCAACTTTAAACTCATAAAAACCACTCAATCGTCAATTGATACCATGGTTATTAGACTAATGCAAGTTTTGACATTTTCGCTCCACAGTGCTCAAACGGTTTCAAATCGGGTCCTGATTAGTTTCCCAAAATTTGAACTCATTCGATAAGAAACTGACTTGGCGCAAACCATTTGAAGTTTATATGGAAATTACTATAGGAAAACCAAATGTTTTGTTCATATCCATCTAACAATTTACCATATCGCACTGCTTTAAAAAATGATAACTGAGCTCGTAGAAAATTTTCTCAGCTACAACTTTGTCCTCAACCACTTTTCAACTGGGCTGGAACAAATTTAAGCATCAAAAGTTATCAATATTTCAAGCCACTAATGTCTTACGATTATGCTCAATCAACTGTTCAGCAGGCAACATTGGTGTTTCTGGTGCTTGGAATAGAGCACAAAAATCATGGCTACTATGTCACACTGCAAGATACAGTGTTGCTCACAAAACAGCTGCTTGATCATGCCATAAGATTATCAATCTCTTAAACAATTAATAACTATTTTATTTGACGTTTGGCTCAACAACTATATTCTGCTAAGTTGAAGCTGAGAAAATTTTCCATAAGTATAGTTTTTGAATTTTTGAACAGTGCAATATGGAAAAAGGTAAGAAGACAATGAACAAAAAGTTTTGATTTCCCATAGTAATTTCCATATAAACTTCAAATGGTTTGTGCCAAGTCAGTTTCTTTTCAAATGAGTTCAAATTTTGGGAGACTAATCAGGACCCGATTTGGAACCGTATGAGAACTGTGGAGCGAAAATGTCAAAATTTGCATCAGTCATCATCATGTTTTGTTAGTTTTCCAACCGCTGTTGCACAAACAAAAGTTATAACAATAAATAACGCCAAGATATCAATAAATGAATTTTTGAACCTGAAAACTAATCGGTGATTTTTGCGACGACGATTTTGTAAGGCAAAACGCATAGGCGCATAAACTCATGCATGAGTTTTGAGTTTTTGAGATTTTCCGTACACTGCCTGTATTATATTCTTACAGCAACTTACAACAAAATCAAGTACGGGATCAAACCTAATGATGGTCAACCGTTTTTCCTCCGCATAACGACATTTCGTATAAATATGTTCGCAAAATGGACAGTTAGCTTAATAAACGTTTCACATAATGGACGTTTCGCAAAATTTATGTTTACCAAGTAGTTATGTTCATTTCAAATAGAAGTACTTTGTATTAAACAGCAAAACAGGTTATCTTCCATTTAATTCCACTTAATTAATTTTAATATCTATGACAGATACGTATTTCGACTACAATGTGCAGTCTTCATCAGTTTCACGAACTAAAGAACTTATCAAAATTTAACCGCGGTGAATGGTGCCTTGATTTCTCGCAAATGCTTTATTCTGGACACTTATAGAACATTCAATGGCGCACATTTTTTCTGCGACAATCAAGTTGCTACCTCTTGTTGTTGTACATTTATAAAAAAAAAATTCGTGAAAAATACGCACTGTTTTAAAGTTAATTAAATGATTTAATAAAAAAAAAACACCATAGTAGTTTCTTCAGTCAGTCTAGCGTGTTAATCAAATGGAAGTGATCCATAATTGTGGGGCTAGTGTAATTTAAAACAAGCCAGCGACGAAAAGAAAAGCATCGACTTGAATAATGTAAACATAGCCGAACTTGCACAGCTTTTATCACGCATATACTCTAATCTGTGATGCAGTAAGCATACGTGTATGTGAGCTTTGGACGGATAAACACTTGCGCCATGGTAGCTTTTTTACGCGACATCTACAAGTGAAATAATACAAACATCTTATCTCTGGCTTCTGCTATCACATTAGGCATGGGCGGAGCATTGAGGCATCTTGCATTGCGTTTTTACTCGCTTCATTATCTTACTTTTATTTTATTTTTCGGTATGATTAACCCACCCAAAAAATAATCACCAGTTTGTCAATAGAAATGTTACACAAAATATGTCAATAGAATGCAAAAACAAACAATGAGCCACTGTCTTCGTACAACCAGGTATGAACTGAGGGGGTGATTCTATCTAAAATCGAAGACATTAAATGAAGAAGACTGGCAATTCTGTCAGAATCGAAGCGACAGATACAGTAGCGCTGCGCTCGAGTGAAGGTGGAAGTAACGCATAGAGAAATGAGCAAATATACAAACCATTATTCTGAGGTTCTAATCTTTGCTATCCAATTAGTTCGAAGCATTTACCTTTTCGCGGTAGATGACGCGATTGTGCCGGTCTCATAGCGGTCGTATGAGAAAATGATAGAGTTGCCAGTCTTCTTGATATGTTGTCTTTGCTAAAATGCAGTGTTGTTTTGCTGTCGTGAGATGCACGTGCGATGTAGATTTCCTGCAAAAAGATGGAGCGCGAGGCGAGGAGATAGATTTAGATGCGTAAAATAATAATAATAAAAAAAAAATTGTTGTAAATAGATTCGATTGCATCGAACATCTGACGATTGAGATTTAGATGTGTTGTCCCCGTCGGGACGAACAGAAGTCTGAACCAAGCATTTAATCAACATAATTGATATCAATTGTTGTCATTCATAAGTACCTTTATTTGACATTTATAATAATCAATTAGAATCAACTTCACGTGCTAAAGTGTTGACAATCATGTATGTCTTGCTCGTAGCCGTGGTGTCAAATTGAGATGCCTAAGATTAAATCAGAGGCCTCCATGTGGTAGCCTGTCATACTATGGCAGAAGGTGGCAGGTTCGATCCCCGCTCCGAAAGTTTTTCTAGTTCCCTGAGTATAAAGCATTATTGTACTTGTCACAAGCATAGAATGTACTCAATTAACAACTGTGGATTTGTTCAAAGAACACTAAGTTGAGAGCACGTAAAAAGTTTCAATTGGGACGTGTCGGTCAATCAGAAATGGTAAACCTATTTTCATCGCAATTACTAGTAGATTCATGATTCACTGGAGCTCTCATTTCCCGCATACAACGATCTCATTTAATCTAATGTGATAGAGCTATTATTTGCATACGGTATTGTCCTATCAGTGCTCTTCATTGCCTCATCGATAAGGGGACACCTCAGCAATTGATAATGGTCATTTAGAAAATTATAAATTTCGGAAGCTTGCCAGCAAGTTGGGCCATTTAATCTCTGTCAATTGTTTTCTCCGGTGCGGTGACGGTACGTCGCGAAGATATCAAACTCGGCGACAATGTGGATTCGAGTCACGTTACTCGCACTGGTTGTGATTTTCCATAGAGGTAGAACATTTAGTGTGAATTTTTCCTATTGAAAGTGAGAGATCTGAAACAGTTTCTTTTGTTTAGTTAATCCACAAGTAATGTGCTACGAGTGTATGGATTGTGACATTAATCCTGCAATTTTGGTGGAATGCGGAGAGGTGATCCTAACGTCAGTGCAGCCTACGTTACCTGATACTTCTGAGCTCACTTCTCCGGATCCTACTTTTATTCCTACTATACCGTCAAGTCCTGATCCGACATGTGCTGATTGTGGTCCAGGAACGGATACAACACCAACATTTACGCCTACTTTGCCTACGAGTGTGGATCCAACGTGTGCTACTTGTGGTCCAGAAACGAATACTACTCCGGTATTCACTCCTACATTACCAACAAGTCCACCACCAACGCCACCACAAACGCCTACCCCAAGTTTCCCAGATCCAACATGCCCTACATGTGGTCCTGAGACGGACACAACGCCAATCTTCACTCCAACCTTACCAACAAGTCCAGATCCAACATGCGCTACATGCGGTCCAGAAACGGATACTACGCCAATCTTCACACCAACTTTACCAACAAGTCCACCGCCGACGCCACCACAAACGCCTACCCCAAGTTTTCCAGATCCAACATGCCCTACATGTGGTCCTGAGACGGACACAACACCAATCTTCACTCCAACCTTACCAACAAGTCCAGATCCAACATGCGCTACATGCGGTCCAGAAACGGATACAACGCCAATCTTCACACCAACTTTACCAACAAGTCCACCGCCGACGCCACCACAAACGCCTACCCCAAGTTTTCCAGATCCAACATGCCCTACATGTGGTCCTGAGACGGACACAACACCAATCTTCACTCCAACCTTACCAACAAGTCCAGATCCAACATGCGCTACTTGTGGACCAGAAACGGATACAACTCCAATCTTCACACCAACTTTACCAACAAGTCCACCGCCGACGCCACCACAAACGCCTACTCCAAGTTTCCCAGATCCCACATGTCCTACCTGTGGTCCAGAGACGGACACGACTCCAATATTTACTCCAACCTTACCAACTAGCCCAGATCCAACCTGCGCTACGTGTGGACCAGAAACGGATACAACTCCAATATTTACGCCAACTTTACCAACAAGTCCACCACCAACACCGTCACAAACGCCTACGCCAAGTTTTCCAGATCCCACATGTCCTACCTGTGGTCCAGAAACGGACACGACTCCAATATTTACTCCAACCTTACCAACTAGCCCAGATCCAACCTGCGCTACTTGTGGACCAGAAACGGATACAACTCCAATATTTACGCCAACTTTACCAACAAGTCCACCAATAACTGATACAACGCCACCACAAACTCCTACTCTTCCGACTAGCCCGGATCCAACATGCGCTACGTGTGGACCAGAGACGGATACAACTCCAATTTTCACACCTACTTTACCGACCAGCCCGGATCCAACATGCGCTACATGTGGACCAGAGACAGATACAACTCCAATTTTCACACCTACTTTACCAACAGGACCGGACCTTACCACCATGTCAACACTGCCAACCGCTCCTGAACCTACATGTCCTACTTGTGGACCAGAATTGGACACAACCCCAGTATTCACGCCAACTCTGCCGACAAGCGCTGCGCCAACTTGTGCCACATGTGGCCCAGAAACAGGTAGGGCGAAGCCAGGGAAATTAACGTTCCCTACTATAATAACCGATGCAAACACACTTAATCCTGCAATCACGCTTACCCCTCCTATCACATTTTCCACAAACTCACCCATTATCACACCACCGCTTACTGTCACATCGGGTCTTGTAACACCTCCGATAACTACTCCATGGCCCAATTGGTCACAATCCTCGCCGCCAATTATTACTCCACCGATCACAACTACAGGTGCGCCGATCACACCTCCTCTAACAATGTGGCCAACGGTTCCTCCGACCATCCTAACACCTCCTGTAACTACACCTCAATTTACAACAATCTGGCCATCGACTTCGTTTCCAATTCTGACGCCGCCCGTTACGGGGCCACCCGGTGGTGTAACGACTCCTCCATTCACAACAATCTGGCCGTCAGCTTCAACACCCGGCATCGGGGGACCAACAACTCCTTCTTTAACGACTATATGGCCTACTTGGCCGGAGCTAACACCTCCCACCCTTACGCCACCGTTTACTACGATTTGGCCGTCATCGACGTCATGGCCATTGCCACCCATAACTTCGCCACAGCCTACTTTTCCAACGATGTTCCCGCCGATATTAACGACGCCTTCGCTAACCGGGCCACCAGGAGTTCTGACGACGCCATCGCTCACAATGGCTCCAGAGTGGGGCCAACCTTCGCTTACTCCTCCGACACAATGGGCACCAATATTGACACCACCATCGTATCCGGTTAAAAGGCATCTGCCACTGCCGGTGAGCATATGCTACTCCACCGAACAGATTGGTAAGTGCAACAATCTGAATGAACTGTTTTCATAGAAATGATGAACCATAAACCTCCCTATTTTTAGTAAATAATCGACGGGTGATCAATCGAGGCTGTACGAAACGTGACCACTCGGTGCAGACGACATGTGCCACTTTGAACAACAACCAAGCATACACAAGGTGTTCCCTGTGCGCTTGGAGTCTCTGCAACCGATAGAGTCTGTATTGACAAGTAGGATTTAAGATTAACTGATATTAGATATTTAAGTTTAGTGTTATGAATAAAAAATGTTCTATATTTTAATGTTAGCTATCAAAATGGTTTGCTTGAGTCTTCCATAGCCAGCGTTATATATTTCTTACTATGTCTTATTAATCAGCATTGACATAATCAATCATCGGGATAACGCGTGATGCCCACAATTTCACCTTGTCGACTTTGACATAATTGATGCGAAATCATACAAGGTAACATGCTGTACTGCTCTGCGTAACACCGAAGAATCAAGTCGCCGGCCGCAGACAGCTGAGCTATAGGAGCGTGTTTAACTTGTGTTGTTATCTATCGTATTTTTTTACCTCGTCGGCAATGATCTGTTTTCCACTGTGTCTCCAAACAGACGGCTGAATTGTGATATGTTATCTGCCACAGCCGGAGTCGCACGTCCCTATCTAGAATGCAACTATTTTGTTTTAACGGGCTGCTCCTGTAGTTCATGCGAAGTTTTTTGGGGGGTGTGATTTACACAATCACTGTCCAACATGTACTTTGCCCCCGAATAACGTCATTTCGATGTCAGCCGTGGCAGTAGTAGCGTTTCATCACACATTTCGGCGGTAATCCGTCATTATCCACTCAAACAATAATTAAGTAAAGGGAACGTGCCATTCTGTGCTGCGATAACGACATTTGTCATAGTCATTCTCAAATTAGAGTTGCTTGAGTAGATGTAACACCTTGTTTCGTACTTGTATATTTGGTACTTTTTCATGACCGAATGCAATTTGAAAAATCCAAACCAAATACAAAATGATACATCATTTTTTGCATCAGTGGTTCTCAGACTTCCGTTAACTATCACCCATTTTGCGGCCCATCAATTAGAGACAAATGTTGTAAGGTCAAAATGATCTTAAAAAACGCTTACCAAAATGGATAATAGCTTATAAGTCACATGAATACCATAAGAACGTCAAATAGCTTTAAGTCTCAAAAACAGATAAACATAAAAATAAGATAAAAAGCGGAGGGACCCGGCGTAGTGAATAACACGACAAAGTCAGGATTAGAAATCGCATCCCCAGACAAGTCACGAATGACCCAAGCGTGTTAAACTCACTGTAAGAAAAACAAATTGTAGAAAGGGTTTGACAACACGAAAGGAGCTGTAAAATGATTAATCATTATTAATATTTAAATTCGGGTCATCATGAAATGCCGATCTTAGAACGTCAAAATGTGTCAAAACGGCTTCAAAATGTTCAAATAACATTTTAAACACCATAATGAGTTATTATGGGGATACTGGGTCTCAGATTACCTGATCAGTAAAGGCACGGAGGCGGCAGGTTCGATTCTCGGTCCGTTCAAAGAAAACTTTTGGGAAGGAAATTTTTTTGACCTCCCTGGGAATAAAGTATCATTGTGATAGCCACACATAATACAAATGCATGCATTGGTTGCCAAAACAGCTCTCAATTAATAACTGTGGAAGTGCATCTAGAACACTGAGTGGCGAGCCGGTAAAACGCTCGCTACAGAAGCATAAACGCGAAGACAGCCTATCAAGAAGACTGGCAACTCTTCCATTTTCTCATTCGTATGGTATAAGACAGGCACAATCGTGTCATCAAAGGTAAATGCTCCGAACGAATTGGATAGCAAAGGTTCCATCCACAGAAGAAAGGTTTGTGTATTTGCTCATTTTTCGATGCGTTGCTTCCACCTTCGCTCGAGCGCAGATCTACTGTGTCTGTCGCTTGGATTCAGGCAAAGTTGCCAGTCTTCTTGTTATGTTGTCTTCTATAAAAGCCTACACGCTAACTCGAAGTACCCATTAAATGAGTATCTTGTACTCATTTTGTGAAATTATTCAAATCTGTCAAAAAATGGGTATTTTCAAAAAACGAAAAGCGGGTACTTTTTCCCCATTTGAGAAAATGTCTTCTCCAAAAAATAATGGGTAAAAATATGCTTTTAATCAACGTCAACACATCCCTGACGAAGTGAAGACCCAACGTGTCTGATATTTTTTTTTAATAAGTGAGTGTTGCGATCATTCGCGAAGCGAGTATTGTCTGTTTTATTCGAGACAATACTCACCGAAACCATTTCAAAAATTTTCGTTATAGGAATTTGGAACCGGTTGTTAGGAGGTAAGAATTAGAAGTGCAATCATAATGAAAATTAAGACACGTATTTTGAAAATGTGTTCCGTTTCAGGCTAGCGAAGAACTCTAAAAAGGGAAAAGCAAACCTGTGCGATGAGCAGCATCTGTCGCGGACCGACCAGCAGTGAACTGGATCTAGTTCCAAAAGTGTTCTTTCGCAAGGACAACTTTATGCCTTGGAACTCGGTTTTATGATAATTATTGTGATTATAAACAATCAAGAGTATGACGTGTTTCAATTATTTTGAATATTTTAATAGGATTTACGTGGTTTAATGCCAGCTAGTCCCATGAAGCAAAACACAAATCAACAAAATGGGTACTTTTTATTCATCTACAGAAACAAGAAAGGTAATCTTTTTTGACGTATTCATCGAATACTCATTAATGAGTAAAGTCTGTTTTACTCATTTCATGAGTTAAGCCACTTTTCTTCAAAATGGGTATTTTTTTACTCTACTTTTAAGTTAGCGTGTAGAAGAAGGAGAAGAAGAAGCATGGCGTAGAAAAAGCAAAAAAAAAATTGCTCTAAACTTTAGTTCCAATACTCTTTAAATATTATTAAATCTCTGGAAATACTTAAATCAAGTAAGACGTTATTTTGATCATTGTACACTCCCGAGCATAAGTTTAAGGACACGTCCAAAAAAAGATGACAAATTTGTTATGTTCATATCTCTGTCATGTTACGTCAAATTTTCGTTCTCTTTAAATCATTTGAAAGGTATTGAATGGAACTTTCCTCGTAGGCAAATTGTTCAATATAATTTTCAAATTTTGTGTGCTAAAAGTTCACCCAAAGTTACAATATTATTCAAAATTTACTCTGAAGAATCGTGACTGATTTTCTCAGAATTGGGCTGGCCAAATTTTGAAATAAAAGTAGTAGTAGAACACTTATATATCGTCCATTAATTATGTCACACTTTTAGGGGGAGAGGGGGGGGGGGTTGGAAACTGTGACGAGTCTTACAAAAACCAATTAAGGTCCATATAAAAAATGTGAAAAAGGGGGGAGGGGGTGTTGAAAATGGACCAAATTTGCGTGACATAATTAATGGACCTTCCCTTATGCTGTACCATTCATACCATTCAAATAACCTTTAGAGATCTAAAATTGAACAAAACATATTTGCATAGTTTTTTTGGGAGTCCTTAAACTTATGATCGGTAGTGTAAATCTTGTTTACATCGGTATCTAATGCAATTGTTTTTAATGTTGATGACAAACATTACGCGTTCGAAGATAATTGTGCCAAAGAGTTTGTCATTTGTACTGTAAGTAAAATATGTATTTATTCACTATACTCATACTGATAGGATAAAATAACTATTTTGATGATTTAATTGACAATTGCTGCATTTTATATTCCCACTGCCCTTTTCACATGTTTGCCTAGTACAGAATTTGATCAATGGATTGAAATTAACAACTCATCTATTTCTATCTATCAATCTATTATCTATCTACTCTTATTATGATCGAAACAGATTTTCCATAAAAAAAATTATGACAAATCCGTTTCGATCCACAATGTGTGTAGGTAAGTAGGTATTAGGTTAAGAATTGATGTAGCTGGAAAACAGATTTTTTTTTAATTTTCAAATAAAAAGACACATTAACATAAACTAAAAACCATAATCGTACTTTTCTCTGAAGCTGGAAATCTCTTGTTTAATACTCACTAAATACTTTAACCCTCGCAATGAATAATATCCAACCTAACACATAAAATCCCTGACAACATTGAATAAACCTTCAACAGATATTTGTCTAGCAACCAGGGAAGCAATCTATTTTTTTCCTTGATTTGTTTTCCGTCGATCTTGTTTTCCGTGCTGAGCACCAATGCTACCGACGCCAGGGAGGCAGCTCCCACACCTGGACCCTACCTATCGACCCATCAACTCATGAACCGGGGACCAACGGCTTTACTTCCCTTCCGAAGGAAGGCGTGATCAGAGATGTTATGCCTCAGAACATCCCGGCGGCGCCGGCTGGGATTGAACCCAGGCCTGCTGGGGTGAGAGGTAATCACGGGGAAGCAATCTAGTACTAGGTGTTTCTTATAGTGCTGCACCGAATATTTGGCCGCCATAATATTCGGCCGAATACTTTGAGCTAACAAAATTTCACTCAATCGTTTTGTCGGCCACTCGTTTGTAAAAAATGGCCGAATATCAGTAAAATTTCGCATGTAAACATCGAATACCAGGCCAAATAGCACTACTCGGTGCAACTCTAATTTATTAAGTATTTTTAAGGATCTATTGGTATCTAAGATATCAGACAAAACATAAATCCGCATTTATGGGAGATTAAGTGGTCCTTAAGTGTTGATGTGCGTGCCTTATAGATTATTGACTACTAATTCATGAGCCGAGCAATACTCGAAACATAGCCGCTTCCACGTGTCGGATGATGACAGCCAGTATATGCCCATATATGTGCTGGTAGCGGGGTGTGGGCAATGTCATCACGATTAACCCATATCGTGATGATAGCAAGGCTGAGGAGTTGCGAATCGTCGAGCGTCTGTCCACCAGGAGATGCGGCTCGAACAGCGTCTATCTGGGATCCAGCGGCTGAAAAAGAAATGTTGTATTGTGTCAGCTAAATCCAAGATGGCAGCCCCATCTACACAATAACCCGAGCGTCTGTCCACCAGGAGGTGCGGCTCGAACAGCGTCTGTCTGGCATCCAGCGGCTGAAACAAGAAATGTTGAATCGTGTCAACTAAACCTAAGATGGCAGCCCCATCAACACGATCTAGGTATCGCGACCCTGGTACGGTAGCATACTGAATTATAAATGAAGTAAGAAGAAGAAGAAAACGAACGGAATTTTCGGCAACTGACCCAACGGCAACGAAATAAGGACAATGAATGGAAACTGGGTTCTTGGAATGTCAGAACGT